AATAGCACTTTAATAAACACAACTACAGAGAAAAAGCTTTAATGATAGTGCCAATTCAATAAACAAGACTAAAAATAAGCAGTATTGCAGCAGGCTAGAAGACTGTTCATTATCTCAATGTAAGGCCATGACTAAAATATTTTTGGGTAATTATACTGTGAAGTATATTTGTAGAGCAAAGGATCCCTATTTGCATTAGCTGCACTGCCCTTTGCTGCGACACACTAACCGGAAGAGAGGATAGCCCATAATCACTTTCATTTAACTAGACATATCTGCAAAACCTACAATAGTTTGCCACTGGCTCACTGCTTTGCATCCAAACTCGGCCACAGGTTCAGTAAACTCATCCTTCCATTTTCCGCTGTAATGGTTTTGTACTCTATTTTCACAGTACCTGGAATCAAAATTCTTTTCCTGACTAGCACTGTAGGTCAGACACTTTCACAGCTAACATAAGGAAGACTTTACCCCGACATCCAACTTGGACCTGCAGAGCCTTCCTTCTCTCTCCCTCAACAGCTACCCTGATCCTCTCCCACCCCCATGACATATCTTACAATACCTTCACAATGTTAGGAGCAGGATGTAGCAAATGACAGTTCTTTTAAACAGTTGAGGGTTATTTAAATTAGAAATTATATTTGCTAACAAAGCTACTAGTGTAAGTCTTCTCAAACAAGCCTTGCATATTTCCTTCCCCCCCCCCCCCCCCTTTTTTTTTTTTTTAAGGAAAACTAACACAGGAAATGGCATGAAGAAGCACAGGCTCTAAGTCTAGCCTGACTTCAAGGAACGCTGTACTCTGAGATGCAAGAAGTATCCTGAATTCATTTTGACATGCTGGCGATAAATCAAAACCATCAGTTTGTTCTGCTTGTGAAATTTTACCTTTTCAGTCATGTGATCATATCTGTCCTTTTTGCCTTTGAAGTCTTCATTAACATCTAACGTTAAAATAGGTATTTCCTGTAGATATTCAAAATCCGTCCTGTGTCAAGATAGGAACAGAGGAAATATTACTAGCGGGAAATAAGTATGCATCATTCAAGCATTTTCATTGCTAAGGATCCTACGACAAGAACTGCGCCTATCAATTACAGCCATGAATTCTGAATATAAAGCAGCTTGCATTTACAGTGTGGCTCCTAGGATATATTACTGATTCTCGAGCATTCTGCTCCCCCAGCACCTAACGTTAAATTCAGCTGTGTACTAAAGTTCATTCAGCAGAACCCTCTGCTATTCAGAGCTCTATGTGAAGAGAGCTCAAGGCACGTTGCACTTCCTAGCAATAACTAACGTGCTGTAAAGCTGATACTACTAAGGAAGTATAGATAAGAAATATTCCTGGAGTTTTATTTTACATATCATGGGAAAAGTTGAAGATTTATCCGTCTTGACATAACCATTAAACAAACCCTACCGCAGCGTCCTATGCTGAAGCCAACTTTCATGTTTGTAGTGAAGCTTCTCCAGATATTCAATAGGAATTTCTTGCTCTTCATCTCTTCCACGCAAGTAAATCCTATTTAAGCATTTCTAAAGGCAAAAGATATAAATAACAAAAAATATTGGTTCTTTTTGCAGACCTACACAGCAAGTCTAGTTTGCCGACTTATTTTTGCCAACCCTTCCCACCGTGCTCAATGCACCACTCTTTGCCAAAGATGAATATTCAGCTTGCTAACTATCTTACGAGCATAGAAACGTTACGCCATGCTCAGCTGATGGAGTCCACAGACAATACACAAAACCAAAGAAGGACCCAAGGGAACGTATCACATGATTTCTCCGCTACAAGGAAAGGTCTCAGATAAGCTCCTTAGGAGAAGGGGTACCAGTGTATTATTGCACAAAAAGAGCACAGAAATACCCATTTGACATTATAGGCAGGCATTTCAAAATCTCATTATATATTTCTGGCTCTTAGGAACCCAGTGTCCAATGTAGTACATCATTAGTTCCCATCCTGAATGCATCCAAAGCCTCAACAAGCCTATGAAAACTGTTTAAACGTGTTGTAAATTACCTGTCGTAATTTACACTACTTTGTAATGTAAATATACATTACTGACTTAAAGAGAAAAAAAAAAAAGCCCTCAATAGCAAGCCTAGTAAAAAAGCTGTCAGAGAACTCTAGCACATCATGTTAGGCAGTTGTTTACAACAATAACAAAGCTGCAGAGTGGAAGTCAGAATCATAGAATCCTTTAGGTTGGAGAAGACCTTTAAGATCATCGAGTCCAACCGTTAGTTGGAAGTAAGGAAGTGACCTGTAAGTTTAGAAGAGCTCCAACTGCTGTAATCAACTGTTACGTTTTTCTCTCATTCACTTAGGTTTCATACTCCAAAGATATATTCACGAGGTTGTTCTCTCCTTTTAAAAAACCTTAGATGCCCAAAGATCAAAGCCTCGTCATAAAGCCTCACCTACAGAAGGTGCATTCATCTGGCTGAGCTCCATTACTCCAGGTGAAAGGGCTTCCCACACACCGCCCCCAAATCAGCTGTGGCCTTAACTATAAATTGTTCTATCTATCACAGCCATGTTCCTATAGCTCTTTTGTCCTTTTTCTTTTAGTTCCAGTGGTATTTTCTGGTTTGCTCTTGTCACATACTCTGGTTTATAATTAGAAAATCATTATCATAACATTTTATTTAAAAATACACAGGCTACATTTGAAAGAACATTCTTTTTTTAAGTATTTCCAGACTGTATTAGTCATCACTCAAGTATTACAGCCTTCAAGGGAACACTACAATCTCAACTGAACTCTAGTCATTAGGACCCGTGCTGTGCAAGATAAGGGTAGCTCAGGATTTTGAGAGGACAATTTCCCAACTGTTTCCTTGCCTGAACCATGCAAAGCAAACCCTGAAACAAAGATACAGTGATATGCAGTGACACACAACTGAGACCTCACTGGAGCTGACTGCAAGCGTATTATTCTGTTATCATCAAAAAGGTCTAGAATCATAGTTAAAGCCTGCATTATTTTTTTTTTTTTTAGAAAAAAATACTATAGAAGCACAAAGATCAAATTTAACAGGCAAGGCACAGAACGTGTACTCTCGTTTTCTGTGCAGTCATAAATTTTTATTCCTCACCTCAGGAGTGGCTCTGAGATAAATGATCCCATCCAGCGCTAGGCTTGGACCAAACTGCTTATTCATCCAGTCATGCCAGTCTTGGTAAATAGTCCATTCAGTTTCATTCATGCAATCAGACTCATATAAATTAGCTGCAAAGATATATCTGTGAAGACAAAACAGTTACATAAAGGAAAATGAGCTCGAACACGGTTATCATTCACTTTGCCTGAAGCAGTGCACAGTGACTGGGAAAGACGCTGAACACTAAGTTCTGAACACGTAAGCGCTGAACGCAGCAACGGCTGCGGCTCAGGTACCCCTTCAGGAATAAATCCACAAACCACCACTGGTTTGTACCCCGTGGTCGTTTATTGACAATGTATTAGAACACAGGGAACACCGAAGGGTTATGTGTTGGGACCTAGTTTTCAAATCTAACCTTCCCAACCCAGAAACACAGGCTACGGCACTATGAAATAGCTCGACCTGTTTCAAGAAGCATAACAGTAAACAAGACTAAGTGACAAAGAAATTGCTCGTGACTTCTCAATGCCTACTCCCCTCTTTATTTTAAAGGGAAACGTGCATGCACAAATCATAAAACAACTACCCACAAAGAATGAGAAACTATGCATAGCTAAGCAAGGTTATAGAACAAAACCATAAACCCTCAGACCAGTCATATTACTTCGCTGTCAACACCAATGAGAGAAAGGTAACAAACCACTTATTGAGGCCATTGTGATCCAGCAGTATCAAAATTATGACGAAAGGAGGTACAAAACTCAGTCACGCTGTGCTTTTTATTTATTTATGCATTTTACTTAGGAGAACACCGATCTTCACTTTGAGGACTTCAGTCCAACATACCTGTCGCTGTAAACAGATCGCTCAAAGAAGACCACAGGATTCTCCGCCTCTCTGAGTTTGCCATCGAGGGATCGGAGCTGAGCCCGGATCCTGCTGAGACACGCGTAGGTCTGGAAAGTGAAAGACCACCTCTCTGGTTTCTCATACATCATCCGAAGCACGTTTCTGCCACCCTTCTGCGATGAAGTCAGCTCCTGGTTTTAAACAAATACGGTGACCCTTTAAGTTGAGAAGGTGGACGAGTAAGGTAAAACAGAATTGCTCTACTATGGTAAAGCTGTTCAGCCTTTACTGCAGGTTTACAATTGCATCACTTACCTCTCAACCCTATCTATAATACAAGGCATAAATGCCAGTAACATTATTCCTCCTATGGCGCTGAGCTGAACAAGCAACTCTCTGCAACCTACAGGGTCAAAATGCTCCAGCAGCAAAACACTTTGTTCACCATTTCCAAGCTTTAATAAAAGAACAACATCTTATCGGTACAAAAAGTCAACGACACTGTAGAAAAATCCATACTCCTTTCACTCCGAGAAGCGGGAGTTTACAAGTTGGGCTCTTTTTGGTTTTCCCCATCTGTTAATTACAGTTCCTATGGTAACAGCTGCTGATGCAGCACCCTCAGATAGGATTGCTCTCTCATCTCACCTGGGAGGCTCAGAACAAACTCCCAACCAAAGAGCTCCCTCAGCTCGCAAGGGAGATCAAACGCCTCGAGGCAGCCACAAAAGCTCACGGAAACCACATCCAAGCACTGACATATTTTCAGAAACAGAAGTCAACACCTAGGTGACAGCAATTAAGATTCTGGAATTCCAGGTTTCGTCATCATCGGGGGTTGGACTAGATGACCTTTAGGGGTCCCTTCCAACCCAAAACATTCTATGATTTTATGATCCTCATCTCTAATTCCCTGCAACCATACCTACCCTAGTAAACCAAACGTGCCCAGCACCACGCTCTGACACTGGCCAAGCGGCACACAAGAGCAATATCCACAGCACTAAACATTCTAAGCCTCCAAAAGGAGGAGGCTGCAGGCAGCGCGCTTTCGGGAGAGTCCCCAGGCTATCCTACTGCACAAACCGTGCCTGGGACCTGCTTGGCAGCATCCTAGCTGGTCACGGGACAGAAGTCCGTGAGGGACAAGGGACGTGGCCTGGTGCCACTATCCAGGATACGTCCCCTACTCCATATTGAAATAGAGCAGACGCAGCTGCAGCGGCCTTTCACAACTCAGAATACCTGTATTTATCAGTTTCACCAGTAAGAAATGAAATATAAGATATAGAACTACCTGCCAGAAAAGATTTCACTATCCTTCAAAACCACAGTATTAAGGAGCACAGTACTAAGCCATCTGGAGTATTTCAGGTGCAACTTTCATAACAACTAACAACTATAAAAGCCTTCCAGGGGTGAGCAATTGCCTTCTCATCATTCCTTCCTTATCCTCTTCCCTTTGCAGTATTCAACTGTCTTCATATCAACCCAGAAATTGTCTTGTCTGCTTTCTTCCTAATTCTCTTCTCCGCTCTGCTGGAGGGGGGGTGAGCTGATGTTTGTGTGGGTCCCTAGCTGCTGGCCAGGGTCAACCCAACACAGTATGTTAAAAAAATAAAGAAACCTTTAACTTGAACTTCAAGTCTATTAAACTAGCTTGTTCGCTTAGTTCTTAAAAGAAAGGACTTCAGTCTGGTTTGGTATTTGGATTTCCTTTAGTACCATAAAAAAAAAAAAAAGCTGTTAAGCTCTGAAAAAATGCAGCTGAGAAAAAGTTAGAAACAACACACCCCACTAAAAGTTTACGTTTAGTTAACTAAAATACAGCTTTCTTTTTGCTAGATCTAAAAAAGAAAAATCTTCTACAGTTCACAGAAAGCTGTCTACACAGCTGTGACTTAGGCCACTAGGTTGCAGCTGGATTGCCAACAGAATTAATTACAGGTAGCTGACAGAGAAACCACCACCATACACAACTCCGCAGTAGCTCCTTACTTCCTAAACCTTTTAGCAGATGCCTTCCAGGACACCTGGGCAACCCTCTGCTCTCACCTGGTTAGTTCAGTTACCAAAAGTTACTTCCGCCTAACTTCTTTCCATCCCTTGCTTTTAATACATTTAAAAAAAAAACCCACGGTAAAAGCCTGTTCTAATCATTTACATCCTGATGTTGAAAAGCATTTCTTCTATAATACAGCCAGCAGTCTGGAAAACAGGACCTCAAATATTATCCGTAAGAATCAGCGAAAACATGGCTACCCCACGTGTTTCCTAAAACGCCTGGTCTGTCAGATATATTGCTCTCGTGAAATCAGAAAAACATTTGACTTGGTTTGGATTCTTTATTTTATTTTAAGTTTCACTTTAGTTTCCTTCACCATACCTCGCAATCGTCTTCAGAGTTTTGCTGAACATTGCACCATCTAGCTACAGGCTCCGGAACGACTTCCCATTCCTCATCGGCTTGCTTGAGAAGATTCACAAACGTCGACTTCCCTGCAGCTGTAGAAAAAGCAGGGAAGAACAGCGATCAAAAAACGCCAATAGCATCATTATTTAAGTACCGTACGGCTCTGGTTTCAAGTCCCATAAATGATTCTCCAACACACCCGTACTTGTGGCTCCACAACAAGCATCAATCAGAGACCATCGCATACCACAGATCGCCAATTGACTGAGCACCGGGTGTTTTCAGTTTTATTTATTGCACAACACCAGCAGCCAACTTAACAAAAATCAGTAACCACAAGTCTCAGCCCAGACCAATTATCTAAGTTGGAGAAAGCTACATTTGCAATTAGAACACCAAGTCTTAATTTTTTTAAAGGTACTTAATGATCCAATCTTAGGCATGAAGTTGCAGTCTCCCCAAGTTGTTTTAATAAGAAAAAAGAAAAAAAAAAAGGGGGGGGGGGGGGGGGGGGAGAGAAAGACAGC